GTTAGTGTGTTGAGTTTGTTTATAGTGGCTTTGACGTCTTAGGGAACATTAGTTACTAACATATCCTGGCCTGTTAGCTCACCATGAAGGAAAACACGAAGAGTAACTAATCATAGCATATTGCTACTCTTTCAGGAGTGTTTTTGTAAAGTGGAGGAAGACAGAAAAACAATGTCAGATGCTGCCTCTGGTCGGGTTATCTGCCCTTTGTTCTTCTAAACACTGACACTGACCTTTATGCTAATCACAACGTTGACATCCAAGAGTCGGAGCCAGTCAGTTGCGTTTGACGCTAGTGCTTCTGTTATATTACAGTTAAACAGTTAAACAACAAACAAACAAACAAACAAACAAATGAAACCCCAGGGACATGTACGACTGAGAGATCCGTTGAACGGTCACAGGGTGTTTGCATTTAAACTTTCCATCACATGAATTATGAAATTATTATCAAAAGTTACTGTTTTATTTGTACCCAGTAACACTAAACCAAGACATAGCGCTCATTTAGAATGATACGTTACCTAGGCAATCCATTGTTTTTCATAAACTATTTTTTAGTCTTGCATCTCTGTTCAGAGAAGCTATATTTACATTGATCTCTTGAAATGATCGTAAGACAATACACTTATAAGATAGAATAATAATAACATCATGTCAAAAAGCGCCTTATTAAAACTATTTAAGTAATATATACTTGGATATACATGTAATAGACTTTTCGGTCGTGTCATTTTTGCAGTGTTCTATTTTATACCTACTTCCCTTTCTAAGCTTAAGTTACATTAATGTCACACCAATCTATCTACATTTTTGTAAATCTAGTTAAATGCTATGTAGAAATGGTGATGTATCTTCTCTATATGGGCCTGTTTTACGAACATCCATTAAATAAATGTCCTTCTTCTTTTAAAATGTCACAAACTGTTTGCTGACGATACATTAGGCACTTGTCATTAGGGTAAATCACATTTCGGCCAATAAATGGAACGAATTGCATAAAACACTCGGATACCTTGACTAGATTGGGCAAGCGAAAATCGGTAAACTCGCCCTGTTTACAGCAAATGAAATTTCACATGTTAGACAAATGGATTTGCGAGAAACACCGAAACATTATCTGCGTGGTTTATTCGCTTGATGCGAGCAGCCGAGAATCTTATCGTTATCCTGTTGTGGGCAAATTAACTTAGCCCTTCTTCCAGCTACCCTATGCAATAGCTGGCTGATCTATTTAGCGTTCATCCTACCAATGCCATCTGTTATCGTGGACGTTACCAAGCACCACATCTTAATATGTAATACAATATAAACATGACGCTCGTGAGGCGAACATAACTGAAACGATGAATATGCGCGTGAGGAAAAGTTAATTGAATTTGGCCATTTTGTCACTCCCTCAATAACACAATTTCGCCGTTTTTGAAATCCACAAATGTGATCGTTTTCACTTTATATTAAATAATGGAATTTTTTATTGAAAAGGAACCTGGTTTAAAGGTTCTCCTTCCGTGGCACTCTTCATGCTTGGTCAGATCATTCGAAGAAGAGCACCTGAGTGAAGGAATTTGGTATGGCACTACTTTTACTCCTCCTACTACTAACACTACGAGGACTGGTCAAGAAGCCTTACAAACAAAACCAACAATTGTGAAAGTGTTTTTAATTATGTTTTTTTCAACATAATCTCTCTGCTTTTCAATACACTTCTCAAATCGATAGTGAAGCTTTTCAATTCCAGTCCGGAAGAAGTTTTCTGAAGCCACCCTAAAAAACCCATTCACGGCAATTTGAGGCCATCGTTGTCGTCATAGCACTTTCCACGAAGGTGTTCTTTCAGTCAAGGAAACAGGTTGAAATCACTAGGTGCCAGGTCTGGCTAGTATGGAGGGTGATGAAACTCTTCGAACCCACATTGTCGCACAGCAGCCTTTGGAAGTCGAGAGGTGTGAGAAGAGGCATTGTCATGAAAGAGTAGAACTCCAGCAGTCAGCATTCCTCCTCGCTTTTCTTTGACAGAATCTCTTAGGCGATAAAGCAAATCAGCATAGTAAGCACCGTTAATCGTCTTTCCACTTTCTAAGTAATCAACAAGGATCATACCCTTTGCATCACAGAATACAGTGGCCATTACTTTCTTCATATTGAAGTCTTGAATTTCTTTGGTGCCGGAGAAGTGGAATGGCGGTATTCCATGGTTTGACGTTTTGACTCGGGATCAGAGTGGTAGACCCATGTTTCATCACCCGTTACTAATTATTTTTTTATCTCTTTTTAAATTTGACGAAAACCTCCTCAATGACCTCTAAATGTTCTCTGGCAATGTCAGTTCTTTTGTCCTTACGATCAGAATTAGAAACTTAGGCACCCAACGAGCAGATATCCTATTCATCTTAAGGTTTATGAATAATAGTTTCAATGGATCCATGGCTTAGACCTGTGTCTTCCTCAAGTTCAGCAATGGCAACACGTCCATGTGACAGTATAAGGGTTTTTTCTGTCTCTCTGATTAAATATTCATTGATGGAAGTTGATGGACGTCCAGACCTAGGGTCATCATTAAGGCTTGTTCTCCCAACTTTAAACGTTGCCCAACGTTTAACAGTGGAATATCTAGGGTATATATTCCCATACACTTGTGAAACGTTGCCCAACGTTTAACAGTGGAATATCTAGGGTATATATTCCCATACACTTGTGAAACGTTGCCCAACGTTTAACAGTGGAATATCTAGGGTACATATTCCCATACACTTGTGAAACGTTGCCCAACGTTTAACAGTGGAATATCTCGAGTATATATTCCCATACACTTGTGACATGTGGCCATGAATTTCTTGGGGAGTACCTTTCTCTAAAGTCAAAAACTTGAAAGCTGCTCGATGATCATTTTTTCCATGTCTGTGTCCATTTGGACCCCTATCACGTTCAACTGGCTGTCACTAGTATACAAACGGCCCCAGTAGACCAAATATACTAGCAATGAACTGCTCAAACAAGGAACTACATTGACTAGTTCACTTTGTGATGGCCCATAATTTAAAGTTAGTCAGGCTTAGAACTCTTTAACCAGCCCTCGTAGTATTAATAATAATACTACAACATCTACTGCTGGCCATGCTTGTAGTAAAAGGCGACTATGCTTGTCGTAAGAGGCGACTAACGGGATCGGGTGGTTAGGTTCGCTGACTTGGTTGATGAATGTCATCGTATCCCAATTACACTGATCGATGCTCGTAATATTAATCAACAGATTGTCTGGTCCAGACTCGATTATTTACATACCCGGAATATTGGTGAGTCCGGCGTTAAAAACAAAAACCCCCACAAAAACACACCTACTACCAATACTAATACCAATACTACAACTACTACTACTAATAATAATAATCATCATCATCGTCATCATAATAATAATAATCATCATCATCATCGTATTTATAATGTTGACAGTCGAACTCGTGGGGTTATCCAGAGTTCTAGACATTTGGATACTTGGGACTCCCGAATGAGTTCGAGATAGCCGCAAATACGACAGTGTGCGCTGTACTCACAAGAATGTTACGATTGAGGTCATCAATATTATCGCGCTCCGGGTGGGGAGAGAACCGGTGTTATCGACGCTAAATGTAGTGGGTTTTACGCTGTTTCTTTTCGCGAAATTCAATCCATATCAAGGCGGAAGAACGATCTTCACACATTTTAAACATATGGAAGCCGGGTTTCTGGTGTGATGCGGAAGTTTACCTCAACGCTCCGTCGGCGTGACGAGAGACAGTTCTTGGACACACTAAGCCACCTCGCCGCCATTGCCAACAAGAAACTCACCAACAGCGCAATAAAAACCAATACGACACATAAATTGTTTGGATGCTTTGGTTAAACATATGTTCCTGGTGAATACATTCAATGAATCCGATTCGTGTAAACGAAACGTTGACAGATCTTGTACAATGCAAGCCTGTTAATGCTTGTTGAAGGGGGTAGACATTTCACTTGAAAGCATCTAATCGTTTTTTATATGGACACATCTGAAGGTCTGTGTGTGGTTGCGTGTGATAGTTCAGATTTATTTTTCGTTTCCTCTATTGGTGATGAATATCAGTTTCAGAAACCCGAGCGTCACAGAAGATGAAGATCAATACATATGTGTCATATATTTCATTATTATGCTCCAAGCCCACGGATGCAATAGATCTGTGCATGGTGTCCCCGTGACTGTAATAAGAAGATATAACTACTGGCTTACAACACATCCTCTGTATCAAGGCATAAGAAATTAAATAGACGTGAAATACATGAATAGTTGTCAGCGTTACGGTCACCATTTCACAATGGCCATGTTAGCAATATGGCACACTCTACAGAGAGTGTTACATTTTTAAGTATACCTTAGTTTAACGTCGTCAAGTAAGAAATATCAAAATTGTTATGAAAAGCTCTACACATATGCAATGTACAAGAAACAAAAAAAAGAAACAGGAATAATGTCTGGTGGTAGTATTCAATTACTCTGAGCTTGATATTTCTCATGTATTTATGGTCACGTATGTCTAAATAATTGTACATATTCGGTTGTAAATCGTTAGTGGTACCGTTGGATAGCTTAAATTCAACGCTTTATTTTGGTATCTACACCTTCCATGTTGGGTTAGTAGTTAGTTTGCTATTCGGGTTTTCCCTATGTTAGAACACACATTTTGTTTAGCTCACCAGTCTGTGGCATTCCTCAGGCTGACCCAGACAGGTTGCTCTCTCCGAGGTCCGCGTCTCAAATATAAAACCCCTGGCGAAATCGTGCATCTTGTCAATATTTTGTCAAAGTGTTGTTTCAGCTACTCTCATTGTATTACTGTTATGCAGTTGCCTAGCTAATCGGCGTGTGTATTTACTATGATTTAATTAATCAGTGATCCTTGTCAGTGTAAATTATATTATCTATTGCTACAGTTATCTAATATTAATCAAACTGTGAACTATTACCACGTTTTCATTATTACCTTTTCTTGTTGAATGACACCCTGGTCTCTAGAGCACCTTGACAATGAAAAAAATAACAGGTCACAATTTCGGTAAAGTTAAATGTGCCATTTGTGAAGTATTGCAATATGTCAACCTATCACTAAAAACATATAGCATAAGTCGCCGTCTTAGTTTTCTTTCGGTTGGCGCATGCGCCGTGTATTTTAAGACGCATAAGTGTTTTTATTTAATTTAGATACAGTCGTGATGTCACATGTTTCCACATCCTTCTATGATGTAGACACATGTAAATTTCAGCGCCTTCAGAAAGATTTCTTTGTCAGAATTACATACTGATATATCCACGTCATCAACTGACAACTGGACATTCTTTTGGCAGTCGCAGTTGTCCCATTTGCCACAAAAATCGTCGACGAAGGAAGAAATAATTCAAAACATTTCCCCTGGGGGATGTTTTGTTTTTAAAATATTAAAGCACTACATCGTCATATGTCAAAGCAATTGAGAGGATGGGTGTGTAAATTAGTTGTATACATGTTGCCGGAACTACTTTCTGCGTACACCGCTGTTTTTGTAGCTTACTCATTATAAGAGAAGGTGCTCGCGAATGGCTGTTGAGATGCAGAGATGATAGCAATGCTCCTTAGAGCTAGGCTCCTAGGGCGAGATCTGCTCTCTCTAATGTCCTTACATCAATTTTTATTGATCTTCATCTCTTCCTGAAAACTCGTTTTTAAGGGCGGTCTTACTTCCGGTGAGAACCATCTGCCGGATTAACGTGACAAGATCTCGCGAGATTTTGCGATAGGTGTCAGTTTATGGAACAGTAGAGGTCCTTGTTTAATGTTATCTATTTCAAACATCACAGGGTTCACCTCGTTCTTTTTTAGTTTTTTTTTTAAATTGCCACTCCAAAGTAGAGGAGTTCGGATTTGATACCGCTTTTTGCAGTCATATAACAGTTTGTCCGCTTAAGTGACACTAACGACTACTTCAAGTGCTGACAGATATAAGTTTAATGTCGGATTGAATTTGGAATTTGAAAAACACCCCGACTAACAACACCTCTGCTTCCACATCCCTCCCAACCCTCATCACCACACCCATACTCTAGGGTAGCCTAGTGGTTAAAGCGTTCGCTCGTCACGCCGAAGACCCGGGTTCGATTCCCGACATGGCTACAATGAGTGCAGCCCATTTCTGGTGTCCCCCGCCGTGATATTGCAGGAATATTGCTAAAAGCGACGTAAAACCATACTCACTCACTCACTCGCCCTCATTAACCATTCAAAGTGTGTATGTAGGTGGATCAAGATTGTTTCACTCATATGACAACCTACATGCACGGGTGTACTAGTCAGGACTTGTGTCGCTTATAAAATGCTAGCCGACTGAGGTACCATGCCGCAGTTAAACATGACATTATACCATCTCCGAGCCCACCATTCTTTTGATAAAATGCGGTTACGGTTTTGAATCCACGACCTTACCGCTCTCCGCCCTCTATCCACACTACACCATAGGGCGGTTCCAAAGTGTGTAAACTGAGTGGATCCATGACCCTGTCCATGGGATAATCTGTCCCCTAAATCACTAACAAAATATACTCGTTTCTATTTAAAATATTCACATGGTTGATGCATCACTTGGTTGATGCATGTCATCGTATCCCAAAATGCGTGGCTCGATGCTCATGGCGTCAGTCACTGGATTGTCTGGTCCAGACTCGATTACTGACAGACCGTCGTCATATAGCTGTAATATTGGTAAGTGCGGCGTTAGACAACCTGACAAACACACCTGACCAAATTAACCCGATACTGACTGGAATACTACAGACATGAACCAATTCCCCCTAGCTTTGTATCTGTCATAATATCGACCGCAGCGTAATCCCCAACAAGCTAGGCTCTGACCACAACACAGTTGGCCATTGTACTTCATGCTTCCCCCCGAACTGGACGAAGTGACGTCACGATCTGCCCTCACCATTGTTTGCGCGGCAGACTGAAGTATCACCGTAAAGCGTATTACAATTGTTCTTCAATATGAAAACGAGTTTTGGGCCAATGAAATATATACTAAGAAAGATCTACACCGACGAATGTGGCATTCTTAATGATTAAAGTTGGAAGATCAACTTGTTTGTTTGTTTGTTTGAGTGTTTATTTGTTTGTGTGTTTGTTTGTTTGTTTGAGAGAGAGAGAGAGAGAGAGAAAGAGAGAGAGAGAGAGAGAGAAAGAGAGAGAGAAATATATGTTTTCATACATTACAGATAATGTTTACTGCATGCTCTGTATTATTGAACCGTTTTATAGACATCAATATTTTGAACAAGAATAAAATGCACATTGCTACATAAAGTCAGGTCCATATTACCAATATGGATTGGGGTTTATGTTTGAGACAGTATGTTTTCAATCAGAGCGCTATTTTTTAGAACAAGAGACATGCCAAGTGAAGAATATTTTCTTTTTGAAAAGCCCAATGAAACACTATCTTTTTCACATTTTCGGGAAAAAAATGGCAAGCCTACTCAGAACATCATTGATCGGTCTCATTTTTTTATTATTTATTAGGCAACACATACAGTCGTTCCTCCAGACACAGCTGTAATGAGATCTCTCATATTTCAAGCGTTCTATCAAAGCCGTTACATTTTTAAGGAAACCCTACACAACATAATCAGTGTATTAATTCAAGGACGACATAAACAGCAGCTGGATGCCAGCTAACGGTTAACAGGGCGCATTTCTAAGTATTGGTGTTGATGTCATATGATACCCCTTGAAAGTATTTGAAGGTATTCCATGACTAATGTGAAAATGGGGATTGTGTGTGAGCAGAACCATCTATTTTCACTCACTGTCCATTAGCAGTACGACATGTGCTTTTTGAGATTTGTCCACAACAAGCCTGGCTGTTCATCAGATGATCCCCGAAAAGAGACGTGGAGAGATGAGTGTATACCTCTGTTCTGTACGGCGATTTAAGGGCACATCCCATTACCCTTTCAATGAACCTTCACCATTAGGTGTCGGCGAGAGTGCAGTATTGGCATGTGAAACGAGTCAATTAGTTGGTCTTGAAGAGAGGACTGGTCATATATAGTTGGGGAATGCGATCGGACAATGCAAACTGGACACTTGGACATAGCGGGTCTCGTCCATACGTTGTGTCCATAGAGATGGGACGTCAATTAACCAGGGATTATGGGCGTAATCTTTGTTAGGCCCTGGAGAATGATGTCGGATTTGAAGGCTTCACACATTGAGAGAGACAGGTATAAAAGTCGGATCGCATTACAGCTGCTCGTGATCGTTACTGTATATGGTTTAAACCATGCGTTTATTCTGTTAGTTCTGGTGAAAATGTGGAATTGTCCCTTGTGCCACAACATTCATGTTTCTGTCGTTGAAGGGGCGGTCGGGTAGCCTAGTGGTTTAAGCGTTCGCTCGTCCCGAAGACCCGGGTACAATGTGTGAAGCTCATTTCTTGTGTCCCCCGCCGTGATATTGCTGGAATATTGCTAAAAGCGGCGTAAAACCATACTCACTCACTCACTTCTGTCGTTGTAAGCATGACACCAGTATACAAGTGGAACTGCCAGGTGACAAATACAGATACCCTGTTTGAGACAATTCGAGACACCTCCTATACAAGAGAATTCGTTGACTGACACTGTGATGCAAACATACAGCAAAACCTCATTAACTCGAAACTTGCTGACCGTCGACAATAAAACGAGCTACCCAGGGTGAGAGAGAAGATGTTGCTTACATTGGACTTGGTAAGGACTCAGTCCTAATCCTAAAGTTACATCGTCTTTTCTGTACACCCCACTAGGGGCTCAGGGAATGAAGTCTCCATGCATTCTGCTGAACTACTGTAAATTTCAAACAATAACTAAATCCCGATCCCGTGTGTATCTAACGGGTTGCCCAGTCGTCTAAGGTGCCGCAATTCGTTGGGTCGCGACCTAGGCGCCCCAGAAACCTATGCGCATGGGAATCCTGGTTCACCCCGATTGTTTCCAGGGTGGCCATCACCATACCATGGGTTTCACCAAAGTGGTAAACGTCTGAGACCTGCATCACTTTGAACTTCCCTCCCACGTTAAGCTAACACGCCGTGATGTTACTGGAAATACTGTTCAAATGGGCGTGAACACCACCAACTCACTCACCCGTCGCTTTCAAGATTATTGCATCCGAGCAGATTAAGGACTGAGTGACGACTAAAGATATGTCGTTATCGATAAGGAGAAAAAGTGTTAAGGATACAATGTAGCAGGTTCTCTCCGTAATCCCTTCATTATGATTGAAACAGATCCCTTATCATCCATTTGAGATATACCAAAGTTGAAGTCTTTTGTGTCTCAGGACTGTCATAATTAGGAACTGATAATAATCATCATTTCACAAGCACAAGACTGAAAGTTATTACAGATGCAGAACGAGAAATATAAACGAAGCTAAACATAACTCGAGAGTCTTATTTAAGTGTATTTTGGTATATTGTCTGTGTGGGTATGTTTCTACAACGTGAAACATATCGCAGACCACATGAGCACATTTGAAACACTAGACGCACTTGAAGCCTATTATATGTTTCTCCTAAAATCCACATATATCTGTGCCTGGAGTGACTCTTGACGTGACACGGAGTTGACCTTTCGCAAACGAAGTCATCAATTGTGTTCAAACCTTTTGAATAATCTCACAGCTCAAGTTACAGGTTCTCCTGAGGGTCTGACTCTCTCAGTTCTTAAATGTCTTAGTGTTAAATCAGAGAATTGGAGCAAGGTTTTCACGTTATGAGATAATTAAAGGTGTCCGAATACGCACTAACGATACCAAATAATCACTATATGTGAATATGCAATGACCTGCTTAAATGGCTGGACGAAACTGCGTCAGTCAGTTTGATTAAAGAGGTATTAACTTAAGCCAAATGTGAACCATACAGTTCAACGCCATTGCGTCTGCATATAGGACAAATGCCATAACCATATAAACTGAGGTGCCAAAGAAACGC